GAGAAAGTGACAAAAAAGGGACAGAAAGTGACAAAAAATGGCAATAAATGACAAAAAAGGGACAAAAAGGCACAAAAAAAGGACAAAAAAGCACCAAAAAGTGACAGAAAAAGACAAAAAAGGGTAAGAAAACAGCATAAAATATATAAAAATGGGTAAAAATGGACAGAAAGTGACAGGAAGTGACAAAAAATGGCAATAAATGACAAAAAAGGCACAAAAAGGCACAAAAAAAGGACAAAAAAGCAGAAAAAAGTGACAGAAAAAGACAAAAAAGGGTGAAAAAACAAAATAAAAGAGACAAAAATAGATAAAAATGGACAGAAAGTGACAAAAAAGGGACAAAAAGTGACAAAAAATGGCAATAAATGACAAAAAAGGGACAAAAAGGCACAAAAAAGGACAAAAAAGCACCAAAAAGTGACAGAAAAAGAAAAAAAAGGGCGGAAAAACAGCATAAAATATATAAAAATGGGTAAAAATGGAGAGAAAGTGACAAAAAAGGGACAGAAAGTGACAAAAAATGGCAATAAATGACAAAAAAGGGACAAAAAGGCACAAAAAAGGCAATAAACGACAAAAAAGGCACAAAAAAAGGACAGAAAAGCAGAAAAAAGTGACAGAAAAAGACAAAAAAGGGTGAAAAAACAACATAAAAGAGACAAAAATAGATAAAAATGGACAGAAAGTGACAAAAAAGGGACAAAAAGTGACAAAAAATGGCAATAAATGACAAAAAAGGGACAAAAAGGCACAAAAAAAGGACAAAAAAGCACCAAAAAGTGACAGAAAAAGAAAAAAAAGGGCGGAAAAACAGCATAAAATATATAAAAATGGGTAAAAATGGAGAGAAAGTGACAAAAAAGGGACAGAAAGTGACAAAAAATGGCAATAAATGACAAGAAAGGGACAAAAAGTGACAAAAAATGGCAATAAATGACAAAAAAGGCACAAAAAGGCACAAAAAATGGCAATAAATGACAAAAAAGGCACAAAAAGGCACAAAAAATGACAAAAAAGGAACAAAAAGGCACAAAAAAAGGGCAAAAAAGCACCAAAAATTGACAGAAAAAGACAAAAAAGGGTGAAAAAACAGCATAAAAGAGACAAAAATAGATAAAAATGGGCAGAAAGTGACAAAAAAGGGACAAAAAGTGACAAGAAATGGCAATAAATGACAAAAAAGGGACAAAAAGGCACAAAAAATGAGCAGAAAGTGACAGAAAAGGGACAAAAAGTGACAAAAAATGGCAATAAATGACAAAAAAGGGACAAAAAGTGACAAGAAATGGCAATAAATGACAAAAAAGGGACAAAAAGTGACAAAAAATGGCAATAAATGACAAAAAAGGCACAAAAAGGCACAAAAAAAGGACAAAAAAGCACCAAAAAGTGACAGAAAAAGACAAAAAAGGGTAAAAAAACAGCATAAAAGAGACAAAAATAGATAAAAATGGACAGAAAGTGACAAAAAAGGGACAGAAAGTGACAAAAAATGGCAATAAAGGGTGAAAAAACAGCATAAAAGAGACAAAAATAGATAAAAATGGGCAGAAAGTGACAAAAAAGGGACAAAAAGTGACAAAAAATGGCAATAAATGACAAAAAAGGCACAAAAAGTGACAAAAAATGGCAATAAATGACAAAAAATGGCAATAAATGACAAAAAAAGGACAAAAAAGCACCAAAAAGTGACAGAAAAAGACAAAAAAGGGTAAAAAAACAGCATAAAAGAGACAAAAATAGATAAAAATGGACAGAAAGTGACAAAAAAGGGACAGAAAGTGACAAAAAATGGCAATAAATTACAAAAAAGGCACAAAAAGTGACAAAAAATGGCAATAAATGACAAAAAATGGCAATAAATGACAAAAAATGGCAATAAATGACAAAAAAGGGACAAAAAGTGACAAAAAATGGCAATAAATGACAAAAAAAGGGACAAAAAGTGACAAAAAATGAGCAGAAAGTGACAGAAAAGGGACAAAAAGTGACAAAAAATGGCAATAAATGACAAAAAAGGGACAAAAAGTGACAAGAAATGGCAATAAATGACAAAAAAGGGACAAAAAGTGACAAAAAATGGCAATAAATGACAAAAAAGGCACAAAAAGGCACAAAAAAAGGACAAAAAAGCACCAAAAAGTGACAGAAAAAGACAAAAAAGGGTAAAAAAACA